TCGACCTGGTGGCCTAGGATGGGCCTTAGGGACTGCAGCCCCTTTGAGGAACCTGTGAGCCTCCCGAGCCCCATGTTCCTCAACAGCTTGTTGGCACCACTCCTTCCAGCCTGCCCAATCGAGCTGGTCCCCAGACAAGAACACGCAGTTTTTGAAATCCTTGACAAACTGGAGCGTATCAGTGAGGACATTGCGGGCCCCATCTGTGTCCAGCATGAGGATAACTCCCAAACTCCGAAGAATAGGATGCCAGAAACCACCCCCCATCCTTCCAAGCAGATCTGAATGGGCCTCCAGAACAGGAGACATTGACTAACTGCATGACCAGAGTCCCCAGGTAGGCGTGCGTCCCTGGTGTCTTGCCCTGGCTTAGTAGACTTTGAATTTCCGAAAGCCTGCCCACTACCGATCCAATGGCACGAGGTGGCTGAGGAAAAGAGCGGGTCTTGGTCGCAAGGACTGCGGGCAGCGGCCTCTCATCCCACTCCATGGGGTAGCCGCCATGCACTCCTGTCGGGTTGGTACACGTGACTTGCTTGAGCTCCTGCCAAGCCAGCTCGTTCCACATCCTGTACGCTTTGTCTAGGATCTGGATTCCTTCAGCTCGGAGGTCCCCTTCAAGCGTAACATGTGTTGCATCCAACCCTCCAAGACGCCCGTAAAAGTCTTCCAGTTCTAAAACCACTTCATAGTTCGGATGCTGTAGTCGTGGGCCTATGAGGGGCTTCGTGGGGATCTTCTGGTAAGCCTTGGGGACCAGGAGGGAGATACCCCTGGTGTTCGTGCCTATCTGGAGGACCACGGGTCTGTGGGGCTTCAGGGTAGTGTCCAGATCCGTGTCCACACTCAGCACTGCCGCATCCAAATGTCGATACAGCAGGAAAAAATCAATGGTCGACTCGCAATGCTTGCCGTCAACTGTCATCACACATGACGGAGTTGTCGGGTCAGCTCGCACCACCCCCTTGATCACGTGGAGTGGGAAACTTAACGACAGCGTGCGCGGGCTAACATTATAGTCACCTGCTAATACATATGGGAAACCCGTTTTAGCAGCTGCAGTCCCAAACGCCTCCAGGATACCTATGCTTCCGGGTGAAAGCCCCTCGCTGTCGTAGAGGTACGCGCAGAAGACACTCAAGATCCCAAGTGCCCCATGTTGGACGAAACATTGACACAGTCGGCCTGGAACGAGCTCAGGGTTTGGACTCCAGGCCTCCAAGTGGCCCTTGACCAGGATCATGACGCCTCCCGAGACCTTCTTGGAGGGTCGCCTGACTCCCTTGGACCCGAAAACTGTCCAGCCTTTCTTCTGAAGTCTTTCTGAAACATCCTGGAACTTTTGAATCAACCGGTGCTCCTGAATACACGCGATGTCCCCAAGCGTCGACAAGTGGGCCAGCAGCTGCTTCGCCGTCTTCCAGGAATTGGCGTTGCAGCTCACGATCCCAAACTTGTTGGCAGCGGGGCGCACCTCCTGACTGCGGCCTCGAGCAGGCCATGGTGGCTCAGGGGTATGCGCAGGCCGCCGAGCTCGAAACTGCCCTTCGGGGTGTAGTCGCAGTGCCAGATCTTGAGCACCCTGGAGCTGATCTCGAAGGAGGGCCCAGCGCTGCTTGATCTCGGACACAGCTTCATCAGAGTTCGCCCTCATCATCTTCTCCCAGTCGGTCAGACAGGAGACAAGATCCTCAGACGAAGGAATCTTATCACCGTTGACTTCGAATGAATACATGTCAGTTCGTCGGCTTTTCGAGGCGGCGAAACCTGACCCACCCACCTCCACTGAAGGTGGGCCTGGGCGAGCGTGATCCAACCCTGGCCCCCTGGACGGTGGGTCACGCCAGTGGCGACGTTGAGCCCCAAAGGGGTGCGCGATCTGACATTCTTCAGATCCAGCAAAAGGTTTGGACGGGGTGCTCGTCTCGTCGTCTTGAGAAGAGCCTTCGAAAATTGCTCCAGTTGCTGCCAGGTTCGTGGAGCACCTGGCAGCCGCGTTCTGACCACATCCAGATCCAGCAGAAGGTTTGGACGGGGTGCTCGCCCCATTGTCTTGAGAGGGGCCTTCGCAAATTACTCCAGAGGCAACCAGGCTCGAGGAGCACCTGGTGGCCGCGTTCTGACTTTCTGAAGTCCCAGAAGGCACAGTCGATGTTGTCCATGTGATCTGCGATGAAGCCGCGTTCGCAATCCACGACGGCGGTCCTGTCGAAGTCGAGGGCTCCATCGATCCACACGTGGCAATCGGCGTAGACGATCGTGGCGGCCGAGCCCCCTCCAGCGGAAAGTCCAGGCGAGGACGCGCGCCGACAAAGTCGGGGTCACTCTGTCCCTGGACTTGCATCGCCTTCGTAGGGCGTCTCGGCCTCACCCTCGGACACGGCGAAGGGGCTGATGCACATGGAGTAGCTCTCGTTGGCGTACTTGTGGGCTGGGCGCTGTGACGACCAGGGGCTGAATCCCTGTGCGCCCAGCCCTGTCTCTTCTCCACGCTGCTAAA